TCTGAGCGAGAAGTAACGTAGTTAATATTTTGCCATAGAGAGATAGTAATGAAAATCAAAGACAAACTGCTCTCCCTACCTTCTTCCTGCGCACGTCATGTTATTTTTCGTCGTATATATAAGAATAAAGTATATAAAAAAACTCATATATGTGTGTGTCTGTAGCTTAAAACATATATAATATATGCATATGTGTGTGTATGCGTTAATATATTTATTAATCGTGATATAATATTTCCGTCCCGTCTCGACCGAGCGAGTCGTTTCCAAACTTCTCTCGTACATATCGCAGGAGTCTATAAGACACGATTTGTTAAATCTCGCACCTGCGACCTTCCTCTTCCCAAGGTACGCGTCGCACGGAGCCGACTATACGAATTTTAACGCGTAGCATGCAAAACGTGGCGTGGCCGCATAATCGCCGCGCACCTGAATTTACGCAATACACATAGTGTGTGTATACATATATATATATATACACTATTTAATCGCGCGTCTTGTATCGATGCACGCAGGAATTTATTTCGTCTGACTTGCACTATGCTACGCTGGACGGATCGTTGAATGAATTCGCTTTGTTAATTTGATCGAACTCACACGCTCTTATCCGCGCGTGTTCCGCGGGCTCTCTCTCTCTCTTTCATCGATCACTATCGATCGTCGAGCGCAGAGACGCAGGCGCGTTCCGGAATGTTTAAATTTAATAGAATACGCGATGTATATCGCGCGATAATCTTCTCAAGTGTATCCGTGGCTTGGGCTATCGGCACATATCGCGTGTGTATGTAATACTATATAGCGGGTTCCCGCGGAAAGTAAATCAATGGAAATCAACGATTCGTATGAGCGAGGTCGATAAATCAATGCTGTAATGACGAATAATATAAAATAACGTAAAACACACAAGTGTACGATTCTATTATCATGTGATCGATAAAGTTTTTTCGCTACTTTCTATGAGATCGCCAGATGCTTACCTAACATCAAGGCTGAATAATCAGTGTCAAAAATATATACGCGACGATGTCGAAGCATCGTTACTGACGTGTCAGTCTGTAATGCGAATGGCGATTTCCTAACCGAGAGCGAGCGTCCGCTGCTGCGCCTAAATAACGCGTCCGCTTGTCGGAGTCTAATTTCGCAGATAACGCGCGAGCCGCCGCGAACGTAATCTAGTTACTAGGCGTACAATCTAATCGACCGATTCATATTGTGTATATGCATACCTGCACGTACAAACTATACTCCTATTCGTAGAATCGCACTAGCCCGCGCGATAAAGTCAATTTGCCTTTTATATTACGAAACTAAATCGTCACACACGTTACGCAACTCTCTATAGACTATTCTCGCATTAATTTGACTATTTATTTTTGTCACTTTAACGTCACTTTATACGCTCGTGGGAAGATTTCCTCTCACTAACGACATTTTTGACGATTCTGCGAAATATGATTTTACAATAAAAAGTGCTTCTTGATAGCGACAGGTGTACCGCAGAAATGTATCTTAATATGTAGAGAGTAATTGAATTGAATTATAGTCTTTTTACGCTAACTTGATTTCGGGACATTTTTTTCTTTAAGAACAGTTTTATCAGTCCAATCTTTTATCGCGATTTTTAATTTTTTATTAAGAATCCTCTTTCTCTGTCTTTCTATGTAATAATTCAAGAAATGGAAATTATTCATGTACATTCTACAGACACAGACAGAATATATTTCGAAATATTCTCTCTTAAAAGTTTATCCCTTACTTTTTTTAAAGAAATGTTTCTGATGTTATATTATGCATTATTATATATATATATATATATATATATATATATATTATTTCACGATTTCAATATTATACGGAATTTTGTAAAACTACATTCGTGTATCTTCGAATCTCTCGAGGAGATCAGAAATTTGCATCGAATAGCGTTAGAAAGTAAGTACGAAAAAATCGAGCACAGCCATTTTGCAGTGTCCGACAATTCCCGTAGCGGCGAATCGAAGGACTGAAAGAGCTAAGAAGAACGAGAATAACGGGTGAGATTGAGCGTCCGTTATGGTTCAAGGAGAACACACCGTTACCGGATACATCCCTTTTCTCTCTCGTGCAGGTGCTCCGAAGAAAATTAACTGGCCATCGCATCGCCGCTCTAATTGCCCCGGCGTATTAATGTTACCGTGCAAATCGGCACAATCAGACAAACTGCATTATAAATTAATAAGGGTTAGCGGTCATTTCAATAATGAGTGGCACGAAAGATTTTCTGTTTTTTAATTACGCTAATAAAGCGCCGATATTCCAAGAACGGATACATTTAATTTGTATGATGGTACGAGTTCAGCCGTATTGTAGAGAAGAAAACGATGATATCAACGTTGAATTCCGATCTTCTATCGTTCTCGGTTTTCTATCGTCGCTCGTCGAAATAATAGACGGCGAATAATAATACGCGTATCGACAAAATGCATTAAAATTAGAAACGCTTAACTTGTTTCGCGGTAGCTTCAGTTTAGCAACAATCGACTTTAAAGAATTAATTTACGAATATACACTACACACACATTTACATGAGGAGGTTTCATATATAAGTAAAAAAACAGTACTACATTGTAGGAATAGAAATTTCAAACACACAATAGTAGCTGCATCGGATCTTTTTTGTCAAATTCTTACGATTCTCATAATCGAACAGTACTGAACAGTACTAAAGCCGTAATTACACTAGCGATTGCGCGATTGTGATTGACGATTATTTCTCAACCAATCAGAGCAAAGCAGTCACCGATTGCTTCGTTCCGATTGGTTGAGAGATAATCGTCAATCGCGCAATCGCTAGTGTGATTACAGCTTAACGAGAGAAAAAGAAAGAAATATCGTTACGCGCACGCTGTATGTCGTGTCCTATCATAAATCGCGCGTCGAATCGTTCACGCAAGCTAAAATTACCGAGCGCGAGCGTTCGCGCGCGATATCGTGAATCGGACGGGTGAGGACTACCGTGTTGACGAGGTATATAGTGGGAACAACATAGCTTCTCGCGGTCAACGAAACATCGACTAACAAAGGAGATTAGGTGGGCCGCAAGTTTGTCCGAGACCATCCTTGAGAGAATCCGCTTCTACAGGCCGTCGCGCCGCGCCGGACGGAAAGTTCTATCGCTCTACACGCCGCATGCGCGCGCACGCGTATACGTATAGCTGGGGTGCACGCGGCGGCTAAATTTTTCAAGAACGTACGCATCATCATCGAGACGCTTCTTATTTTTTTACCAGAGCCCGGCCCCCTCCCTTCTCGTCTCCCCTTCGTCCTGTTCGAGATTTTCCTCCGTGTCTTTCTCTCTTTCTTTCTTTCTTTCTCCGACGGCGCGTACTCGCGGAATCTATTTATACCTAGGTCTTCTGGTGTTTTCAACTTGCTGCACGGTCGTGCAACAAGCCGAAAACCTGCGATCTCTCGTAAAAATAGGAGACAGGCGGGCCGAGAAAGGAGCGTTCGATATGAAGAAACTCTCTCGCGCGCGGTCGCAGGTGCGTGCGAAATATCGTCTACGAATAGCAATTGTCCTCCTCTTAATATTTATACCGCGTGCTTAATATTCGCGACACGTGGCCTCTTCTAACTCTCGTGCATCGTAAGCGTGTAAATAGAAGAGAGAGAGAGATATGCACGTGTACATATAAGTATATACAGATATTTATATAAACGTACATGCGAAACGCGGGACACCGTGAGTAAACTCACGGGTGCTGAAATCCTGCGCCCCAAAAAATACGTAATCGCTTGCGGTTAGTGAAACAAAAAAAATAAAAATAAAATAGCTCTCTCTTGTTGCGCGCGCGGGCGCGCACCCGGCGCGGTAACGTGACGAAATCGGGCATGTGAAAAAAAAAAATACGAAAAAAAAACAAAAAAAAAAGGAAACGAGGAAAAAACGATTACTCCCACGCGGCGGGAGCCCCGCGCGCCAGACGAGGTGTGGTGCGGCGTGGAAAACGAGAGTGAACGCGTAGAGTCGAGCGCGTCGGGCGACCGTGGCACGGTCGCGGCACGGCCCCGGAGCGACAAACGAGGATCGAGCGCCTCTCGCGGCGCAGAGCGAGCGAGAGCGAGCGAGCGAGCGATGGATTACGTCATGTGCCAGGCACTCTCTAACGTCTGGCATTATCTTCGTCTAGTACGAGTCTAGCCGCGCCAGTCCAAACGGTACTAACGCCGCGCGCTACCGCCAACGCTGCCGGCTGCCGTTGCCGTTGCCGCCGCCGCCGCCGCCGCTGCCGCCGCCGGCCGCCACAATCGCCGTCAGTCACCTTCGCCGTCTGGCATACATAGGCAAGGGCATACGAGACACGTCATCGTATGTGGATTCATGAAAGGACACGCGCGCGTATTCTAGCGCTAACTAGGTGTTCAACGACTCGTACATGTACGTGTTGGAGCCAATCACGGACACGCGCATACACGCACCGCGTGTACTCTCGCTCGTGTGTGTGTGTGTGTTGGTGCATGTGCACGCATCGCGCTCCGCCGTGAATACGCACACCTACATACGCGTGTATATTTGCATGCACGCGTATACACACCGCTACTACCGCTATATGACTCGCGCGACAGATACACGCAAACGCACGTTCCTCCTTTCTTTCTCTCCCTCGTCTTCCCTCTTTTTCTCTCGCACTCTTTTTCGCTTTCGCCCCCCCTCCTCCCCCTCCCCTTTTTTTTTCTCTTACCCTCGCCGGATTTTCTCCGTCTATCCTCTTATTCTCTGCCTCCCGACCGCCCCCTTTAAGTACCCCCTCCCGAATTTTTTACTCTTTCTCTCTTATTAAGCGATCCTCCCCTCCTCCTCTACGTTTTCGTGTCTCACTCTACTCCGTCCCCCCTCCCTCCCCCCCGTCCCCTCTGTCTCCCCTAAACTTCTTCCTCTGTCTCTAGCGCGACCGCGCGTATACACCGTGGAAGCCGTACAGGCAGCCGAAGGCCACCGGTCTCAGCTGTGGACGTACCTTGATCGTCAAGCGAGAAGCGAAGTGTGTTGGACCTCCTCTTTGCCCGGCGTCCTTGTCGTCGACGGCTAAGCCCCGTGATTCTATCGTCCTAATACGACGAAAATGACGGATCGGCGAACGTCTTTCCACCGCGACTTCCGCTGATTTCTTCTTCTCTAGTCGTGCCGAGGTATCGCCGAGTAGAGACACTGAGAATGCACGCCTGTCTCTTGATTTTTTTTTTACTCTCGCTCCAATTCTTCCCTTTCGACCAGCTTTTTCTTTCAATTTTCACAAATCACTACCTGCTGATGATACGATATCTATTGTATTCTGGGACGTCTTAAATTGGACGAGAAATTAGTAATACGTGAAATCTCTCTGACGGACGAACGGATCGCTAGCGACTGTACGTCGTGTGACATACGTCGAGATAGTTGTATGTTTCGAACCACGTTAATCCTCGATGAATCCAAATTATCTCAGATTTTTCACACTCGCCTCACAAACATCGTCACTCTTGGGGGACGCGTCGAAGACGATCTCGAAGACACGTGGAAACCGCGTAACGAAAAAAAATCTTCCTCGCGCGCTATCTCCTCCTCATTCTTCTTCCTCGCGATACTCCTCCCGAATTGCGACGTGGCGCACTTTCCCTCTCGCGCTCTTCTTACGTTCTCGATCCTCTATACGGTGTCACGTCGATCACTTAGGGGGCAGCGCGGAGATACGACCCCCCAAGAAACACACCGATGACGAAAACGTCAGACGAGATTCAATAGCATCACTCACACCGTGATCGAGGAGCGTTTTCTCTCTCCTCAAGGAAATCGTCTCCCTTTCCCTCTTCTTCGCGTGTAGAACCCGCGTAACTGGATCACCGTAACGCGTACTCGCGATCCCGTCGATACACGCATGGGCGCGCACTGTTTTTCCGCCTTGTCCTCCGATGTAACTGAAAAACGCACCACTTCTTCTTCTTCTTCTTCTTCTTCTTCTTCTCTCTCTCTCTGTTTCTCCCGATGCCGGGTTAACTTATTCTTCCAAAACGTCGTCGCGATTGAAGAGTGAGAAAAGGGGAAAGAGAAACACGAGGGATTTGGGTGAAGGAGGAAAATGAAATGGTTAACAACTTCTAGCGCGGGTAACACGTGCCGCAGAATTGTTGGATGAGACAATGCGCGACAGAGAGAGAGAGAGAGAGAGAGAGAGAAAGAGAGAGAGAGAGAGAGGGGGGGGAGAGAGGGAGAGAAAGCGCGCAAACGATGACAATTGTCGGTGTTAGAATGTCCTGCGTGTATTATCTTGCGCGCCGGCTGAATGTCGAGGATCGAAGGACCCAGCTGCTCTCCTCGCCGCTTCTTTGGGACACACCGGGGGACTACCTAGTCGTAGAGTGATTGGGAACGCGACTGGCCAAAGCACTTGATTCGCGCGCGGTTCGGTTTGCCCGTTGCTGCGCCTCTCCCGTGCAGTTTTTTCGGCAGTCCTGTGGTATGCGTGCGCGCGCGGCGTGCATGTATGCGTGTGCCGAGTGCCCGCGCGCGTGTGTACGCTCCTCTTTCTCCGTCTCTCTCCCTCTCTCTCTCTTTCTCTGTGTTCCTCCTCTCTTTTTTCTCTCTCTATCTGCACGAAGAGTTCTTTTTCGCTCTCCTTCCCTCCGCGCCGTTCTTCCTATCCCTCTCTCGCTTCCCTCGTTTTTAACACGAGAGTGTGCCGCCCGCTTGCACCCGCGTCTGTGTGCGTGCGTGCGTGGCCCCCGTGATGTACGCCGAAGAGTGGCCCTGCGCGCGAAAAAGAGAAAGAGAGAGAGAGAGGATTAAGCGTGCGAGAATGAACGAGGGTACATGCGGCCGTCTACTATATGCATGCGTCGCTCGCGTACGTAAGTATATGTACATAATACACGTCCGTCCGATCCGTCTTGTCGTACACTGCGTGCGTGCGTGCGTGCGTGCGTGCGTGCGTGAGTGAGTGAGTGAGTGCGCGCGCGTCCCGGGTAGGCGAGGGTATAGTTACCGAAATGTTAACCTCGTGGAACCACTTTTTATTGAGTGTCGCAAAATTCATAGGAACCTCGCGACGTGAGGAGAGGGGGTTTAACCCGGCCCCCGCTCCTCTCGGCCATGCTAGCGGGGCTGATGCCGCGGAGGGGCGACAACCCCTACCCTCCGTACCGCGGGGTCCCCCGCGGCACCCCTCCGCGTCCCACCAGACGTCCTCCCTCCCTCCCTCCTCCTCCTCCTGCTCCGTCACTTCCTCCTCCTCGTTCTCCTGATCCGCGTCCTCATCCGCGTCCTCATCTTCGTCCTCTTCCCCTCGCTCGTTCTACTCGAGGCCTGGTCCTCGCCAATTCTTCGGCCCCCCACCATTCTCTCGCTAGTGGCCCCCAACCCTTGGTTTAGTTCTTTCCCCCCCTCCCCTCGCCCTGACACCCTTGGTCTCGGCCGTGCACCGCTTCGGCTGTTCCCCTTGCTCGTCTCACGAGTCTCATCCATGCCGACCAATCGCCCTCCTTCCTTCCCTCTTTCCTACTCGCTAACGTTAGCCCATCCGCTTATTCCACTCTCTCTTCTACTTCTTTCTGTTCTTTTCTCCGCTTGACGCTCTTCTCTCTTCCATCGCTATCTCTTCTTTTTTATTCCGCTATAACTCGTCTCTCTCTCTCTCTCTCTCTCCCTTCTCTTCTTTCTTATCCACCCTTCCTTCACTTTGCTGTTCCGATCTTCTTCTTTCTCCCTCGCTTTCTCCTTATTTCTTTCTTCCTCTTTCGGTCGCCTTCTTTCCATCGCTCCTTTCCCGTTCTTCTCGTCTCGTCTCTCATCTCATCTCTGCCGTCAGCCTCCGAAATGAAACGAACGAGTCTCGCCTCTTTCCTCTGCCTCTCTTTCCGCCTCCCCTTTTATCTCGCTCTATCGTAAGGCGACTATCTTCTTATGCTGGTGTTTGACACCGCCAGCATCATACCTTGCCCCCACCTGTCAGCCCTGTTACCACCCTGCAACGTCCGGTATTTAGCCTTTACATAGTCAAATTTAAAAACATAGGTTTAGCTGTACATAGTACGACCGTTCTCGTTTCATGTACGACCCTACACGCAATACCAATTTTGCGTCATCGTCTATCATGTAATTCTTTCGTGACCAGCGTGCCATGTGTCTCACTAAGATTTTCTTTCAATAAGTTTGATGGAGTACCTCTGCCCCACCTATGATCCATGCTGACATCTTACTTATGATGCAAAAAAATTAAATTAGTCACGATAGAGTTAATATTGGACGATCATACTGGATAAGATATAATACAAGACTACCTCTAACGTGCTATCACTCCGAAAACGTAATGGAAAAAATAAAGTTTTGTTTTTCGCAAAATAACGATTGAGGAATTAGAAGACGTCTAAACAAGCTTTCTACGAAACAAACAGGCATGTTTAGATCGACATAGTGAATATTTATGAACTTTATTGTAATAATAAAAAAATTTTTTTAAACGTTTAGTCTATGACGTCTTTTAATTTGTATTCGGAAAATAATTGAATCTTCGAAAAAATGATTACGATACAAAGACTGATTGAGATATCTGTATCGACAAAATGACTCAAATATATCTCCTCTTCCCATTAAAAACATTTTTTATTCGTGAAGTAAAAACCAAGAACATTAAGGTAGGCTCAAGGTCATTGAGGTGTGACCTCTTATTCTACAATTTTGATAATAACACTGGCCTGCATGGTTTTGTTGATTGGAAGTTAACAATGGTTCCTTACGTAATTTTTCGCGCTGAATCCGAATTCGGCTTCAGAATTGCTCTATATCATGTCAAGATTTCGAGACATCTTAACCCAAATCTGCCAAAGAGCCATTTTCAGCCGTATTTAAAATTCAATTAAAAATTGAGAAAACTTTTGTCGTCTAATCCATCGACGGTATCATTTATTACTGTACATATACGGCCCCTTCAAAATCCATTTCAAAGCGATTCTTTTTTCCGGAAATATATCAATTCGAAGTTCGATAAATTATACCTAGTGGAGAGAGAGAGAGAAAGAGAGGAGCCTAATATCTATACTGTTGTATTAGAACAAACGATATTTTTGGTCAGATTATATGACTCTTCTATCTTTTGTCACAGAATATTTTTTAATCTGCTAGAATTGTTTATACTCCAAACGCCGCGCGGCACTGCTTCTCGCGAATTTGTCGAACTTTGAATTGGTATATCTCCGGAAAAAAATCGCTTTAAGATGACTCAAAATGAATTTTGAGGGGGCCGTATAGTAGTAAATGATACCGTTGATGAATTAGACGATAAAACTTTTCTCAATTTTTAATTGAATTTCACATATGACTGAAAATAGCTTTTTTGGCAGTTTTGGGCAGATATCCCGAAATCTTAACGTGATAGAGCAATTCTGGATTCGAATTTAGTGCGAAAAATTACATTAAAAAACATTGTTAAATGCCAATCAACTTTCAACACCTCAAATTTTGCAGGCCTGTTTTTAATAGGTGTCTCTTCCTCCTATTTTTAACTGTTTTCGAAAAAATCGCAGTAAACTTTTTTTTCAAATTCATTTATGTATATGTAAATATATATACAGATAAATATATACATTTTTCATATTTCATTCTGTTGCTTTATACAATACTTTTTTTTATCATACATACACAATTTCATACATTTATATATATATATATAATATATTGTTACGTATTTATAACATTCTGAAAAAATCTATAAATATTTATTTATTAAAAAATTAACTAAAGACAATAACTATTAAGATTATGTCATCTACGGATGATTTAAAATTAATAGCTTCTTTCTCGCGGCGTATTAGGAGTATTAGGAGAAGAGAGTAATATGTCGTCTGTAAAATATTATTTTCTTAAAATAAGATCCGCGAAGATAATTGAGAAAGTCATTAGCACGTAAACCAAAATCGATAGAGACAAATTATAGATATGCGACTCTTCCATAAGAGATCATCGTATCATCGATGTATCAGCAATGCGGCGATGCAAAAAAAGACCTTTCTCTCGTACAACAGAAATTGTTTTTTAAATCGTCAGCGCTCGAAAAGGCGTAATCGGTAATGATTTTTTTTCCGCTGTTAATTCGATTCCTTTCGCAAATCGGCAAATTATCAGTCGCATTAATCTATAAGCGAATATCTTTTTAATGTTACTTGTAAATGCATCTGTGTCAATATGCTGTAAGGTGTTTTTTCTCTCGACATTGTATCCAAATGTATCTTTAGATTAAAGCGATAAACGGCGAATGCAGATTGCCGTCCTTCAATCGAACAGACCGCGATCAACAACGTTCGCTAGCTGTTCATTGAGATAACGAGCTTGAGGACTTAGCAATACTCTGCAGATTCTCGTCGAACATCAATGAGTAATGGTTTTAGGGTACCCCCGTCTATATAATACTACAAATGCTTGGAAATGCTTAGATCGCGATCTTAATCCATCTATTTACATAGCAACATCACTCTATTACAATATTAGCCAAAAATATTAAATATATCTTATTAATCATCTATAAAGTTTTAATTCAAAGATTGATTTATGGCATTTTTTGTGAAATATCCTTTGTTTTAAGAACTCTTCAAACTTATCTATGTATTGTATAATATTGGCGTTGTTACCAATAAGTAATAACGCAAATAAGAATTGTAAGTAAATTGTATAATAAAGAATTGTAGGTAAATGAAAAAAAAAATAGTACCATACCCAATAATTTTGACCATTGCTGTACATCGTAGATTTTTCTTCACTTCTCTTTAGTTGAAAAAATGAAACAGTACGAAGCAATTAATAACAATCGAAAATTCTCTCTTATTGTTTTTACATTGAGTGAATACCTATTTGAAAATAACATTTTCTGACATTTTGATGTTTGTTTTGCTAAAAATTCATAAGAATATTTATAACAGCACAAAGTTACAAAAAATCTGTTTTTATTTTATACACCACGTCATATGATCTCGTGCAATAAAAGACTTCTTCTTCTTCTGACCGATAGATTTCCGATTTCCAAATAAATCGTAGTACTACGCTTTCAAAGTGAGCTCACTGAATTGAAAAAGGCTAAACAGATCAACGCATATCATAAAAAATAAAAGATTTAAAGTACAAAAATTGTAAATGGAATCGTTTTGAATTAATAATAACTCAAAGCAATAATATTATACAATATTAAGCTGCGACAATGAGTTAGCAATTGACCGATTGATAGAATTTGAGAGTCCGTGATAGATTCACACAAAGAAAGAGACAAAGGAACATCTCAACCGTCACTTAGATTCGTAAGTATCTTATCACGATACATTGTCGAATC